CTTTCCCTTGGCAGAGTATGATGATGGTATTTATCTGTATTTTTTACAGTTATGCATCCTGTATAAATACTGATATTTCATTCCTTTGTTTACTAAAGAGACATATTTATCAGTTGCAGATAGCCTATTTATTATAAATTATGAGATGATGAAAATAATAAAGCCAGTGGAAATTTTCTACCTAGGATGCATGGCAATTGTCAGGTTGGAGTTTAAGTGTTTCATTTGGGAAATTCCGCTTTTGCAGAAGCATTGTTTCTACTTGCACTAGCATGGCCTCTGACGTGACCATGAAGTTGTTCTTGATGACACTGCTTCTGCTAAATTCAATAAAAACTTCAGAAAAACCTCCATTTTTGAGCATCAGGATTTCCTCTGAGTGTGGAGCCCTGGAATGGAAGTCAGTAAAGTTTGGCGTGTATATTCAAGTTTTTAAATTGAGATTCGATTACAGTTTGGCCGACATGACTTTTCTGGAAGACATGATATACCTACTACGTAATCGTTCTTTTCCTTTCTCTCGCCCAACACGATCTTATAAAATGGATTTCACCCCCAGGCCAATGCAGCTAATTTTGAAAGCTGCATTCATTTATCACCAGCATATTGTGTTCTGAGTGAATCCACTGTCTGTCCTGTCGGATGCTTGCTTGAGTTTTTGGCTTCTTATTTCTAAGTAGATAGAAAGCAATAAAAATACTATGAAATAAAAGAACTTGTTCACAGGTCCTGCGTTACGACCGTAACACATCTTTAATCCGCCTAATTCTTGTTGTTCCGTAGGTTAAATGCAGGTATTTTAACTCTGTGTGGACGCCAAACTAAAGTTTACAGTCTTTCTTTCTGAATTTTGAGTATCTTCTGTTGTAGAATAAGAATAAAAAAAGACTATTAAGAGCAATAAATTATTTTTAAGAAATCAATATTTAGTAAATCATATTATGTGTTCAAGGACCAGATGCTTTCTCTATTTTGCCTTTAAATTTTCTGTGATCCAATTTTCAATACATTCTCCTATTTGCCCTGGATTGTTGACATGAGTAAAAATCTTGGTTTCTTTTCTTACTTATGAAAAGACAACACTACAGATTTCATGTTGAGGATTCATTTATCCCCCCCCCCCCCTTCTGGCCTGACAAATATTGTTACCATGAAGATAGTTTTCTTCCATGGACTTCAAATTGCATCTAAAATTAGTGCAAAGAGAGACTCACTAGACCATCCAAATAGAGCTTTTGTATCTTATGCAGACACTGTGGGTAGCCCATCAAAATGTAAACTGTGTTCCTTTTATTTTTATTTTTAAAATATTTTTTGGAGAGAATATTTCAAATGAACACATGCACCCCATCATCACTGGAGGCAAATTTCAGCATAGATCTGTAGGATTTTTAGATGACCCCGGGCCATTGCCTTCATGCTGTGGTAAGTACCACATCTACAATTTTGGTAACTGAACTGGTGCTTTAGAAATGTGGGTTGTTTTTTGTTTTTCAAGAGATGTAGCAGAATAATTCTTCCAGTGCAACAAAATCAATTTTTGCTAAACGACTCTGAGAGCAACGGTTGGGCTGTCAACATTCAAAGCAGCAGAGAGGGAACTTTGCACTATTGGGGTATGATGGTTGGGTCAGTTGAAAAAAAGGAAACCTTTTCATGCCTTTAGATGTGAACTTACAGTAGGTAATGATTATGTGTCCTTTTTTGATGGCTGTAACGAGAACTTCAATCACTGTAGTCTAAGATCTGATCTATAGATGACCTAGAATAGCCATGTAATATAATGTGATGATTCTAAATTTGTACCTATGTGACAGACATTTTCAATAATATGAACTGCTGATTTGATGGAGCTACTATAAGATTTGTAGGTGAAAGTGTAATACTGTTGGTCGAACTATGCTGAAGAGGGAAAGTGAGCGATTACTTGAGCCCTTGTCGGGCTTTTTTTTTTTTCCCACCTGCCAACTCTACATGTATTGTTGTGGTTTTATTCATTGTATGAAAATTCCTGTGATTTTTTTTTGTTTTTAAATGTGCAGTACACATCAGCCTCACTGAGCTAATAAAGGGAAACGAATGTTTCAAATCTACTTCTGCTTTTCTTATTTATCATTACCAAACTCCTGGCATATTCCTCAGGTCAGTACACATTACTCGCTTATCGTTATTCTGTTTCCTCTCTGGATCTCCCCCCTCCCCCTGCTTTTCCATATTCATGGATGGATTTCAGCTCTAAGGTAGCATGCACCTTCTGTATTTTACCTTGTTTCCTTTCAAATGGCAAAGGCAGAAGTGGTGATCTCTATAATGAGAAGTGATGTGGGACTTTATCAAACGGATTAGCTCTGTTTTGGTACTTAACCCTGGAAAGTGTGAATTTTAAGTACAAGCCACTGCCCCTAGTGAGAAACCTGCTAAATATTTCAGCTTAGGAAGCAATTCTACTCTAATGGGCTGAATTTTTTTATTGACAGTTGATTTACAATGTTATGTTAGTTTCTGGTGTATAGCATGGACTGAATATTTTTTGAAGACTTGTAACAGAATGCATCTCCCTGTCCCCCCGTCATGTGTAAGTCATCAGGTTAAATATGGGACAAGCTGATAGATCGCTGCCGGTACGGCTTGCTGTCAGGATGTCCACTGTGCCTTGTAGGTGATTGGTGATCTTCATGACAGAGATTGCAGAGAATGTGTTATTAGTGCTCTGCCATGTCCAGATTTCAGATGTGGTCCTCACACCCAGCCACTTGCACTGCAAGATTCAGCATAAGCCTAGCCATGGGGAAAGGTGGCTAAATGTATTCCAGCTCCTAGCCCCTGCTTTCTCCTACAGAAAAATGTATTCGTAATTGTAGGAAATGTGATAGAGCTATCAACAGTACATTGAAATCTGCTAAATAACACAAGAAGCACTTCCCATGGCTCTCTGTCTATTTTATAGCACTGTGAGATTTGCCAATTATTTTATCAAAATAGAAAATAAAAACTTCCAAATACTGCATTCATCTACAACTGTGATTCAGTGGATAGGCCTCAGATTGTGACTTGTCTCCACTGGTGTTTAAATTGTATAGGGCATTTTGAATCTTCTGGCTGGAATTAGCAAGGGCAATAGAATAATGACAGTCTTCCTTTTAAAGGGTTAACTTTTTACCCTTAAAAACCTTTTGAGGGGAAAGAGGGATTTTTAAGAGAAAAAAAAAGGAGTAGCCACTAGTCTTGAACAGGGACATCCTGATTAGAGATAAAGGATTCATTCGATGTTGTCCTCAAACATTAAATCGCTTCCATCCTTAATGACACTAATGGCAAAATAATTATTGAAGCCAAAATTAGGCTGACAAAAATAAATGAACACTGGATATGAATAGTTTATTTAAAAGGTAAAGTATACAATGTGATATCGGTTCAAAATCCTTTTTCAGCATTGCCAGTTTTCTCTTAATTGTAGCCTTATTTAGCTAATCATTGGATATCATTTACAGCTCTGAGAGCACTGTTATACTCATTTGACACTAGTGTTACTAGCTACACAGTTGTAACTCAGTATTAATTATAGAGTATTATAACCAAGACGTACTTTTTGCAATGTTTACTTTATATTAATCTTGTATTTTGCAATTCTCTTTACCGTTCCTTGTTTTCAAACACAGTATACACTATTATAAATCAATCTTCACACTTTATCAAACAGCAGAGAGCAATAAATAAGGTCACAA